GCTATTTATATAGTAAAATAAGCCTAAAAAAAAGTAATTACTAATTATAAAGTTAGTTAATAAAAAAAAAATAAAAAGTTAAGGCTATTTTTAAAAAATAATATATTTATAAGTATAATAAATTTTTTATTAAGTAAAAGGGCTGGCCTAGCTATAAAAATTTATAAAAACTATTTTTTAATTTTAAGCATGTATAAAAAGCCTTAATAAATTATAAAAAACTAGCTATAATAATACTAGTTTATTACTAGTTTAAAAAAAAAGGTAATAACTTTACTAAGTTAAATACCTTTTTTTACTAGGTTTTAAGGTTTAATAAACTACTAGTATTATTAAAAAATTATTAAACTATTACTTAATTATTACTAGTTACCTATAGTTTTAAAAAAGGGTGCAAAATTTTTTATTTTATAAGGTTTTAAAATTATACCCAAGGCTATAAATAAAGTAATTACCTTTTTTATTTTTTTATAAAATTTTAAGGTTTAATAAACTATAGCTAGACCACCGCCGGCTTGGTATTAAAACTTATTTTAAATTATAATTTAAAATAAAAAACTATATTTATATTAAAGTTAAAGTGTTAAAAAAAAATCTTTTATTTTTTTAAAAAAAAAAATAATAACTAGCTACGCGGTAAAAATTATAATAAAAAATTATTATTTAATATTAGGAGCAGGAGCAAGGGCCTTTTTAGGTATTTTTTTTTATACCTAATATTTTTTAAAAAAGGAGGTATAACGGGCTTATTTTTTTAAAAAAAATATTAACAAACTAATAGCTATTTTAGCTATTATTAAAATAGGCTAGGGGCTATTTAATAATAAGCTAAAAAAATTAAATAAGCTTTTAAATAACTAAAACTAATATTTTTATTATATAAATCTTAGGGCTTATTTTCTTATTATAGGCCTTTATTATTAACTTTACCTAGTAGGTAAATATATTTTAGTAATAAATATATTTATTATAATTAGCAGGATTTATATATTATAAAAAGGTAATATTTTTTTTTATATAAAATGGCAGGGGAAGGCAAGTGCCCTTATTATAAATATAATAAAAATAATTATACCTAGGGACTAAATAAATATAATTATTAAAATTATTAATTAACTTATTATTTTTATATATTTAAATATACTTTGCACACCGTAAGTAGACCTATTTTTTATTAATTAATATTTATATTAAAGCTATTTTACTAGCGGACTAGTTAAAAATAAGGTATATTTATAAAAAAAAAAGGCTAGAAGTTAAAAAAAAGCCTAAGGGGGTAGTAGTATAAAACCTATAATAAGGGTATTAATAATAATAATAGCTAGTATAGCGCAAGACAAAGCGGGGAAAGGTAAGTTAAAAGGTATAAGGGTTATAATTAAATAATAAAATAGTTATTATAAAATTAAAAATTAATATATTTAGTAAAGTATTAGCGGAGCGCTATTAGTTAATAATTATTAAAGTAAAAAAACTTATTAAATTATTACTTATAACCTTACTATATATTTTAAAGGTGCTTATTAAATATAAGTTATATTAATTATTATTATTATTATTACCGCCCAAAAACTAATTAAAATTAAAGTTTTTAAACTTAAAAAAAATAAGTATAAAAAGAAGTTAGGGACGCTAAGGGCTTTTAAAGTTAGTAAAAATATTATATTAAAAGGGTTTTATAATTATATTATAGTAGGAGTATAAGGGGCAAAGGCAGGGGTATTTTAAATTACTATAATTATAATAAGGCACTTTTTTTTACTTATTAAAAAGCTAGGGTAGCGCTTAAAAGGGCTTTTTTTTAGTTATAATAAAAAAAAGGTAACTTTTTATTTAGTAAAAAGTTTAATAAGTTTAGGAGTTTATAAAATTATAAATTATATTATAATTTATGCTTTTATACCAGGTATTATTAAAGCGCCGCCTTTTTTTTAGTTATAAATAAATATTATATTTTATTTAAAGTGTTATAAATAATAAGAATAAGACACTAAATTTAATATATTAAATAATACTTTAATAAATTTAAAAGTAGCAATAATAAAGCTATGTTTAGTATTAATATTAATAATAATAGTAGTATTTTATTATTATTTTTTTTAATTTAGTAGCAGGTCGCGGATAACCCTTTAATTAAAAAAGAAAAAAATTATTAAGGCTAATATTTTTTTATTTAATATTACTAAAGCTAATTTATTATTAATTTAAAGTTAATACCTTAGGTAACTTAAGCTTTAGCCTTAGGTTACTAAGGCTTAGTATACTTTACTATTATATTAAGTTATATAACTTAACTAAATTATTAATATTTAAGGTTTTAGCTACTAGTTAGGCAAGGCTAGGGTAGGCCTTAAGTATAAGTTAAAATAAAAATTTATATGTAAAGTATTTAAACTTATATTTACTTTTTAATTAAAAATAGCTTAAGTATAACTTAAAGGTTTATAAAGGTGGCCTTAAGGCTAGCCTTTTTTTTTAAATTTTTAAGTAACTTTTTTAATATTATTTAACAGGGTTTAAAATACTTTATTTTTATTAATTAGATTTTTTTATTAATATTTTTATTATTAGTAGAGATCTTTGAGACTTGTCGGTCTTACAAGTAAAGCTTATTAATAATATAAACTACTTGATATTACCTGTACTTTCCTAGTAAAAAGAATTAAAGCTTAAAAATTTTTTAAGGGGCCTAAAAGCTATATAAAAAATATTAATAAAAATAATTAATAATTACCTAACTTAAAAACCCCTTTTATTAATATTAGTAAAAAACATTTATTTAATTATTATTTTAAAAAACTTCGCGCTTGGGTAGTAAAATAACTAAATTTTTTTATAATTAATAATAATAAGGGTTATTATCTTACTAGTATATTTAATTAAAAAATTATATTTTTAATTATATAAATAAGAAAGTTTAAAAAATTTTTAACTAATAATTTAACCTTAGTTATATAAAAAAATCTTATAATAAATATTATTACTACTAGCTTTTAAAATAAAGGTAATAATTAAGGGTATTAAGCAAGGGTAATATTTATGTTATAAAAATTATTAAAAAAAAATTAATAACTTTAACTAGTGTTTTATTTAATTTATTAAGACTTTTTTTTAGTGTTTTATTTAACTTTAATTAATTAATTATTATAAAATATTTTATAAACTTAATTAACCTTATTAACCCTGTGGTTATTGCGTAATATAACTTATAAAATATAAAGGTTAAGTTTTATTAAAAGTAAACTAGCCAAGCTAAAGAAACCTAAAAATTATTTATTTAGTTTATTATTTTAAATAATATATTTTATAAATATTAAAAAAGTGCCTAAAACCACTTGTTTACTAAAGAACCTACTACCTAAAAAATCTTTAATTTTAAGAGTATTACTAAGTATAAAGGCTATATTAACTTAAATATAGCTAAAATATAGATTTAAAACATAAACTATTATTTTTTAATAAATATATTTTTTATAGCTAAAGCTTTAGCAAGTATAAAAAAGTCCTAGTTACTACTCACTTTTTATTAATTAAGCTAAAAAGTATTAAAATACTTGCTAGTATTAAGGAAACTAGAAATAATAATTAAATTAATTTTTTAATAACCTTAAAGTTTAGGTTTATTAAAACTATAAGAAGTATTTTAGTGCCTAAAAATATTATTTTTATTATTAAAATATGGCCTAGAATAATATTAAAATATAAAACTATAATAACTATTTTTAAGTTATTATAAGCTTGCTTTAACACTTAATATTTATAAAAATTTAAATTATAAACTTTATTAATAAAGTTAAACTTAAACTTTAGGCTAAATAAGCCCGTGACCATAATTACCTTAATATTTTTAAAATAATAATTAAGCGCTTTACCTTATATAAGTAAAGCTTTTATATAAAAAAATTTACTTAAAAAATCTCTAGTAATTATCCCTTTTTATTTAGTTTTAACTTTAGTAAAAAATTTAGTTATTATAACCTAAATACTATAAACTTAAGTATTATGAAAACTACTTTAGTTAAAGTTTTTATTTTAACTCACAGAAAACTATTCCATTTTTGGCTCTGACTCAAAAATTATTTCTTAACTTGCGCATTATCTTCTCTGATTCTCGACTGTGCTTCTTCATAGCCCACAGCACGTAATACGAAAATCTGGCATGCGGGAAGATGCACTCCAAGGGCAAGACTTTTTTGTAGGACACTAGCGGGTCAATCTCCGGTGAGCCAATGTTGACCTGACTCGTATTACTGGAACCCCTCTTCAAGCGATGAGGTCTTACGGCATTGAATGTAGGTTAAGCTAGGCGTCAAAGGATGTCAGTGTCGGGTCGGGAAGAGCATACATCGTTAGATAAATACTTTCTTCTGACCCGCCCAAAATCTTTTCTCATGAGTAGAATCCCGAGCTGCACCATTCACTTTCTAGTGAGTTCTCTGCTTCTAGTTACAATTCTCTTTGCTTGCATACAAGGTATATTCCACCTCAACACATCCTTAAGCAGGTTTGACCTTCAGTTAACATGCTAGATGTGTGAATGGCACGAAATCCTTTTTCACTGTGGCTGTCTTGAGGCCATGAACCTAATCCGAAGGCACGCGCCAGGTGCAACTTGCACTGCAAGTACAACAAATCCTCGTCAAACCATCACCACTACGATTCGCGAGGAAGGCAGAATCTGCGCTGCTTGTCGTTATCCCACGCCTGACAGTGACAATAACGCGTGATCTGACGTCTATTTGACTGCGGAGCAGTTGGTGAGGAAATTACACGCAGAATATGGTCTGTGAGGATGTCTGCATTTCCTTCCTAGGATGATACTACGGGTTTTGTTGGTGTACCAAATGGAAGATTTGATTGTCTCTAAGCAACAGACTGATATGACATAAGCAACCCATCAGGTGACTCCTGTGTCACGTAGTTTATAAGACAGCACTTTCCCGCAAGCTTGATCCGTTCAGCTATCCCCTCCTTACTTTTTCAATTGTAACCCGCTTATTATGGATGAGATCAACCAACAAGTGTCCAGAGTACTTGAGGACACGAAAACAATTCGGATCGTTGCCGATATACCTACGAAACTTTTGGCCTCCGACAACTATTTTGCTTCCGCAGCTAGTTTTACCGAGCCATTCAAAAAGCATTGGGAAACACAACATATCGTGCGATTCATTGTTGTTGATGTATATCCTCGGCATACATATGTTATTTACGACATCAACAACCACCGTTATCACTATGAAACCGCTCATAAGCAGACCTTTTCTGTTCCGGTCTACATTCTCCGCTTCAAGAGCAACAGGTGGATGTTCTTCAGACAACAAACAGAGGATCAACGAATCGCTAGAGACATTGCAGAAGTGCACCGACATGAAGGACAAAATGCACCACCTTTTTTCGCGGATCATATTAAGGGACCTGTTTACCTATCGCCCCGTACAGACTGAACCCTGGACCGAAGTCTTCCAGAGTACTGTTGATGAGTGCTTCTGATTGCTCGAGGACCAAGAAGTTACCAAATCAAACTGCCACCAAAATGATTTGGACCGATCCCAACACCGCATCCACGGACCGTCAAAATGTACCACGGTAGGCACAAGAGCCTCATAGCAATAAACTGCAGATCCATGCACCAAGATGGCGATGAGGCGCAGCTGATCGGAAACTAAAGCTTACTTGTCTGATACTCCTAAGACTGCCTCGAAGCGCACCGGCTATTACATAGTTCTGAACTGTCCTGTCCTTCTATAACATTTTCTGTTCTACCTGTTCAAACTCCCTAAGTTTAATTGGTTAAACTCTGGTCACCTACGGATTCTAACTTAGTCATGGAGCTGGACGTGCACCTTCTGCCCCACTTCGGCAGCGCCCAATGGGTCATCCGGCATGGGCCAATAATCTGCAGCTTGGCATCTCCTTCCGAAGGCGTAGATCGGGCACCTGGAAGGGCCCATCCCTGCCGCGGTGCAATTTTTTGGAGTTATGGATGCCTCAGGCAGAAATAGGTAATGTAAGATTAGAATAAGAATTAAGGGGTAAATAAAATATAGGATTTCTTTAAATTTTAAATAAATAAGAATATAAAAGTTTAATAACTAAATATAAAAAAGTTTAAGCTATATTTTTTTTATATTTTATTTTTTAATTAGGCTATAAGATCCGGCTAAAGTTAAAGGTTAATTTTTTTTATTTTTAAAATTAATTAAAGTTATTTAATTAAATTTATTATAAAAATTTAAAAAAATTTTACCTTTTATTTAATATACCCCCTAGTGCTTAAAAAAATAAAAATATTAAAGCTAAGTATTAAAAATAGCTTTAATTTTAATAAAATTAAATTAATAAATAAATATTTTATAGTGCAGTTTACTAAAAAGTTTAATAAAATTATTTACTAGTTAATTTTTTATTTTTATTTAATTAACTTTAATTTTTTTATTTTAATACTTTTTACATAGCTAGTGTAGTGGGGTTGCACCCTAACATTAATTCCTGTAGTACTTATAGCCTTGTAACCTATCTTTTATACCTAGTTACTTATTTACCCTAATATATATTTTTTTACTATTATTTTTATTTATATTATATATTATCCAGCCCTAAGCTATTACCTTTATTTAATTTTTTTAGCTTTTATATTTTAATATTATCTTTTTATATATTAGTAATTTATACAGGGCATGTTTTTTTAATATTATAAAGGTAAAAAAGTGTTTATTAAACCCTTAAAATAAAAGTTTTTAATATTAGTAGCTATACCTTAATAATTTAAGTACTTAAAAATATTAAAAAAAAGGGGCAAAAAACTATTAAACCCTAAAGGTTAAAAAAATTAAGTAGTAAGTATAAATTAAATTTAGTAAATAAAATAGGTAGGCCATGTATAAAGCACCTGAATAATTTTTAAAAAATAATAAATTAAAAAATCCTAAAAAATACTAATTACCTAATAAATATAATAAAGTAAATAGTAAATTTAATAAATTTAATATAAATATAATAAATAAATTTAAAGTAAAGTTTTTAGGGGCCTACTTAGGTAATTATACTAAATATTTAATAATAAAATAAAAATATTTTATAAGTTTTTTTTATAATTATAAAGTTTTACTTTTTATTAAGTATTTATAAACCTAGCCCTTTAAAAAATTATTTAAAACTTTTAATATATATAAGCTTATTATTTATTTATTAACTTTTATTATTAAGTAAAAGTAATAATAAAAATATTAAATAAATACCTATACTTATAATTAAAAATTTTAGTAATATAGTTCTTATAGCTAAAGGTAGGCCTAGTAATATTATCAATAAAATTTATATATTTTTTAATAAATTTTATAATAGTAATACTAGCACTTTTAAAAATATAAAAGGTATAATAATAAAAATATTATTTTTTATTAATTATTTTTATATTAATTCCTGGTACCTTGGGCATATTTATATTTAATAATAAAAATATAACTAGGTTTTTAAAGGTATATAAGCAAGCCTATAAAAACTAAAATATTTATAATAAATTAAAAGAAATTACTTAAGTAACAGGCTACTATAATTATAATATTTTAAATATAATTAAAAACCTAAAAGGGTATGCTAAGTAGGACTAAAAAGTATTAAAAATTATTATATTAAATAAATACTAGTGCCTTAATTAATACTAAATTAAGTAATTATATTAATATTTTAAAAAATTTAAAAGCTAGCCATGCATGTGCTCTAATAACCTTTATAATTATATTATAAAATATAATATAATTTTAGCCTAAGTTATATAAATTAATAAATTAAATAATTATATTTAATATATTTAGCTAACCCAAGGTCTTTTAAGTAATTTAGCCTAATAAGTTTTTAAAAAATTTAAGTTAAAAATAAAAAGCTACTACTAGCTTAAATATAAAATAATTAAAAAGTATATGCTAGATACTTTTATAATAAAAAACTATATTTTAAAATTAATAAAAAGGTTATTATACTTTAAAAAAAAGCTAAAAAAGGCTATATTTTAAATATTTTTAAGTATATAATTAATATTTTAATAGCTAAAAAACCCCTAGTTTTATTTAATAAAACTATAAGCCTATAAAAAAGGCACTTTAGTTTAGCCTAAAATAATTTTTTAAAAATAAGAAAAGTTATTAAAATATTATAGCTAAATTTTAAAATTATAATAGCCTAATAGGTATAGTAGCTTTTTTATTTTTTAAATATATAATAAGTACCGCCCCCTTAAGTATTTATATATTAAATTATTATATATATTTTACCCTAGCCTAAAGCTACCTTTTAATAATACCTATTTTAATAATACTTATTTTAATAGTACCTGCCTTAGTAATACCTATCTTAATAATATTAAGGCTAATAATACCTACTTAATAATATATTAATACTTTTAGTTTAAGCACCCCTGTCTTATAATAATTATTATCATTATAAAACCTTAAAATATTATATAGGCACTTGTATTATATAAGTAATAAATATAATAAATAAAATATATTATAAAAATTTAAATATTAATAAACTATATATTAATAAGGCAGGAAATAAAAAACCTAAAATTAAGGGCTAGCTTAAAATATTAATAATAAAATAAATGTTAAAAGTTATTAAAAATTAGTTAAAGTTAAAATTTTTAAAAATAAATATTAATATTATTAAAGCCTTAGTTATTAAGCTTGTAAATACTAAAAATCTAAAAAAATATTAAAAATAGTAAGAACTTTAATTATAAGTTTAATAACTTAATTAAGGTGTAACTATAATTATTTATAATAAATAAGTAAGTTAAAAAATATAAAATAATTAATAATAAATACCTTATTATTTAATTAGCAAGATTTAGCTAGTATATAAATAAAATAATTAAAAAATTTAAGCTTTTAAAAAAACATGGAAAAATAACCCTGTGTGGTTTCATTGCCGGTGTCAATGCCTTAGGCCACTTTATTGGCCGTGGCAATGCCAAGGCCTAGGGATATTAGTAGCCTTAAAAAATAATATTTAGGTTTTATTACCTTAAATAAAAGCTATATAAAGCGCTTAAAGGCTTTAATAAAAAAATTTTAGATAATTTTATATTTAGTTTCTTTTTATATATTTTTTTAATTACCTAATTTTACTAGCTGGGTAATTCCTAGTACTAATATTATTATATTTAATAGTATATTTTTAGTTATTTAATTAATAAGCTTTTTTAATACTATAAAATTTAATTAAATATAATAATAAGGTAATTATAGTATCTAATTACTAAGGTTACTTAATAATATATTTATAATAAGGCTTATTAATAATATAAACTATTTAATATTACTTATACCTTTTTAATAAAAAAAAACTAAAGCTTAAGGGATTTTTAAGGGGGCTAAAAACTATATTAAAAATATTAATAAAAATAATTAATAATTATTTAACTTAAAAACCTCTTTTATTAATGCTAGTAAAAAATATTTATTTAGTTATTATTTTAAAAAACTCCGCGCTTGGGTAGTAAAGTAGTTAAATTTTTTTTTATAATTAATAATAATAAGGGTTATTATCTTGCTTATATATTTAATTAAAAAATTATATTTTTAATTATATAAATAAAAAAGTTTAAAAGTTTTTTACCTAGTAACTTAACCTTAATTATATAAAAAAAATTTATAATAAATTTTATTATTACTAGCTTTTTAAAGAAAGGGTAATAATTAAGGGTATTAAGTAAAAATAATACTTATATTATAAAAACTATTAAAAAAATATTAATTACTTTAACTAGTTTTTTATTTAATTCTTAATTTATTAAGACTTTTTTTAGTATTTTATTTAACTTTAATTAATTAATTACTATAAAATATTTTATAAACTTAATTAACCTTATTAACCCTGTGGTTATTATATAGTATAACTTATAATATATAAAAATTAAGTTTTTTTAAAAATAAACTAGCTAAAATAAAAAAACCTAAAGGCTATTTATTTAATTTATTATTTTAAATAATTTATTTTATAAGTACTAAAAAAACGTCTAAGGCCAGCCATTAAATAAAAAACTAATTATTTAAAAAAATTTTAATTTTAAAAGTATTATTAAGTACAAAAGCCTTATTAACTTAAATATAGCTAAAATATAAATTTAAAATATAAATTATTATTTTTATAATAAATATGTTTTTTAAAGCTAAGATTTTAGTAAGTATAAAAAAGTTTTAATTATTATTAACTTTTTTACTAGCTAGGTTAAAAAGTGCTAAAATACTTGCTAGTTTTAAAAAAATTAAAAAATAATACTTAAATAAATTTTTACCCTTAAATAATTTAAAGATTAAGTTTATTAAAACTTTAAAAAGTATTTTAATACTTAAAAATACTATTTTTACTATTAAAACATGGCTTAAAATAATATTAAAGTATAAAGCTATAATAGCTGCTTTTAGGTTATTATTAACTTACT